AAAGCGATGGCCTCCAACCTAAAAGCGATGGCCTCCAACCTAAAAGCCATGGCCTCCAACCCAAAAGCGATGGCCTCCAACCCAAAAGCGATGGCCTCCAACCTAAAAGCAATGGCCTCCAACCCAAAAGCGATGGCCTCCACCCAAAAAAAAGTGATGGCCTCCAACCCAAAAGTGGAGCCTCCAATCTAAAAGCCATGGCCTCCAACCTAATCCAAGGCACATAAATCCTATGATTGAAGGCGACCATGGCAGCGTAGTATCGAGGGGTCTGCATGGGTGGGAGACTTTCCCATCGATGGGTCAAAGGATCGAAGCCTGGGCCAGTCAAAGTCATATCGATCAATTGGGAACATGAGTTCAATCCATCTGTGGATCGACACCAAACCCACTGAACTGAGGAGGGATGAATCAATCAAGTATGGCGCATGTACAACCCCGTAATGTTGACCATACCTTTGCAGGAGGTTTGATCTGCTCCTGTGGACGCATTGACCAAGTGAGGCTCTCTGAAGTAGCAACCATAATGAGAGTGGGACTCGCCTCTGGCGATCAAAACATGTTTGGTGTTTGGACTATAGATATAAATATGATATATACAGTTTGTGTATACATGTTATACATATCAATCAGTTATCAGAATCAAGGGGCAAAACTTGACACATAGTCATTGGAACATTAGTGGATAGCAAAATGAAGCAAAATGTAATGGGGAGAGTTGTAATTCTAATAGGGCCTAGGGCCTAGGGGCAACATGCTTGAGATCGGGTTCTCTCAGGAGTGGAGCAAGGTCTTCGAACCGTGCTATGGTTGCATGGTTTGATCAAATAGAAACAACTGAATCCCAGAAAGAGGTCTATGGGCAAATCAGCAGTCGGTCGAACCAAGAGCATCTCCAAACATCTTTTGTAGTCCGCGGGCATCTTTTGCATGATTGCATGTGGTTTCTTTGTTCATTTTGTTCAGTTGCTACTAAAATTTACAGCCCTGCTTTCTGTCCTCCAGTGTAGTTCACAGCAACCCGTTTATGCCCAAGATGCGCTCCATGCTATCCACCTCGTGCCCACCTCTGACCTTAAATACTCGTTGAAACTCAAGAAAGTCACGACATGACAAGTTATGTTTGAGTCTCATCTAACAAATCCTCCAATACGGAACAGTCAGCAGGAGAAAGACACAAAAAAAACAGCGACGTGCAGGGCTTGCCGCTTGGATCTTGCTGGCAGCCGGCCTTTCCACAGACAAAAACTTGATCCAAGGAGCGTAGAGGCATCCTTCCAGGACACATGCCACGATGTTGGGCTCGCCATTTGCGTCTCCACCACGTGGCTCTGACATGGGAGGCAGCGTCTCCCAGGAGCCCCCCTTGGTCACCCACAAAAAATCAAACGCAAAGCCAAAGACTCCACGGTTCTGAAGACGCAAAGTTCAGCAGAGCGTTCCCCAGACCACCACATGCTCTGCAAGCAAGGTGCTGGCTTAAGCCGTTCGGCTGTGTCAAGGGCCATGAAGTCATCTAGGCTTGACGTTCCTGTCTCCCCGCCACAGACCTTGAACTCAATGACGATGGATCTCATCTCACCGCATCGTCTTTGCCATCTCTACGTATATATATATATATATTATATATATAATTATATTATATATATATTAAATATATAGTTACATTGAAACACCTGTCGCTTCACTGTTGCTGGTTGGAATTTCATTTCTCCAACATTGCCGAGATACATAGAGTTTTCCCTGGAGGACTGCTGCTGCTGCACAAGCGCGAGGCGTTCCCATAGGAGCCAGCGCTTCCCACCCAAAACTCAGCCTGGTGGCACAAAATGAAAGCTTCAAATGAAGGCTTCAAAATAGGATGCCAGAGGCGAAGGCTTCAAAACAGAGAGTCCTGGCATGTCCAGCCTGCAGTCTATTTGAGACGAGGCTCGGATCGAAGCAATCGACGGCACTGAGATAGTCCTCGTCATTGCCTCGAACCCAACCGAGCCAAGAGCATCGTCGGCTAGCCAATCGGCTTCGGCTTCAACAAAGTCTGGGCCACTCACTACTACCCCCGCAGACATAGATTCGGCCCTGGAGCAAGGGGAGCCACATCGAGTTTACAATCCCGTTCCAAAGGCCTCCAAGCATGAGATGGCAGGCCAGTTGTTGCAGAAGCTTCGCGAAGTGGGAAGCGGTGGCCTCGACAATACATGAGCAAACCTCTGAAGGCGAAGTTTCGGCACTCGTCCGCTACTTCGCTGGAAAGGAGCAAACATTGGCGCTAATAGTGGTGACTCGGAGTCCGAGCAGGGTGGTCCACCTGGACTTCAGTGCATCAAAGCGATGTATGCACATCCTTGGCAAGAAAAGAAATGCTGACAAGATTCCTCTGTTGACTTGGAAAAACCCAATAATTGCTGTAAAACAAACTCTGTTGAATCCAGGTGTCGTGTCGTTGTTCTGCTGGGCACCACAAACGTATAAGAAGCCTGGGGATCAGTTGCCCCGCAATGGTCTTCTCCCATGTCTTGAGACAATTGACGATGTTGCACTTGTGCAAAGTTGTTGAACCAAAGACATCTGCACACGTTCCTCCACCCTATTGCCGAGGAACCATCCACTCCCAAAAGGGTTGGCCTGAAAAGCTCTTGTCTTGAATCGAAAAGCAGAGCTCTGCACGGATCCTCGAGGCACGTCTAAGATCCACACACACAAAAGGTTCGAGATCCAAGCGATAGAGAAGCTGATACATCGAGTACACTTCTCCAGCAATGTCGCGTCGGATCGAAGTGCCTAGGAATTTTCAGATCTGTCAGAATCTACCAGATCAAATCGCAAACAACTTCGAACCGAACTCTTTCGAATCCATGTTTTCAGGCTTCGACGTACTGACTATATAGAGAATTCATGATAATTTGCACGCTAAGCCAAATGGGAGCATATGGGCACAGGATGACAAAGGTCTCTGGATATAGTGCCAAAGATACGAAATCGTTTCGAGATGCAGGTCTTGATGCTGGCACCCCGACACAAATAGTGCACGAGCATCAGGATGGCCTCCACATTCTAGTCTGATACAAGGCAAATGAGTGTTTGGAGGGAACAAATACCCGTCCGACTGTAGCCAAGGGTTTAGACACAAAAGCTTGAGCCTGTAGAGAATTGGTGGCTTTGTAAAAGAAACTGAAAAGCCGTCCGTAATTCAACCAAGCTTCTGAAAACTGCATTTTTACCAACTGCTCTGGTGCCCCTGGACAGCTCTCTGAGCCGACTTGCGTCTGCCAAGCAAAGGAAGGACCTTATCTGTGTGGCATGGGGCGTCAGACCCTTCAACATCAGCTCAAGGTATTGCAGTGCAGCCAAAGTGCGCTGTCATGGTCGCCAATTCAGAGATTCGAAAAATGTCCGCCCTTAGTGCAACTACTCAGGCGAACTGAAGAGGTTCAAATACAAAAAGGACCTAAGGACCCAGGACCTGTAAGAAACCCAAACAAGAAGCAAAAGAAAACAACCAAAGAAGCGATTCTCAGGGTAGATATTATGACAGTATTTATCTATGCAAACGAACCAGCACAACTGGAAAATCAAATGTTGTTATTTATAGTAAAAAAATAACAATAAACGATCTGAGGTGCAATTTTGCGCTCGGTGCACTTCCAGGATGCGCCTTTCCCACCGCCTCAAAGCGGCGGCGGTGCAGCGCGGCCAGGAAGGTGTCGCGCCTGCCAAGAGCTGAGGAGCCGAAGGCGACCCGAAGGCGTTCTGGACCGAACCATGATCTATCGACAAGAGTACAGATTAGCAAATGTTCTACGATGTGTTTGTCTCGCTATGTTGGTAGGGTCAATGAAAGCCATGATTCCCGCTTCCGTGGAAAAAAGTCTCTGAGTAATGAGATTCTCAAGTGAACAATTCCTGCCTCAGCACACCGGACCTGCACTGTCCAGCTCAAAGATCTTCTCTTTTTTAGCCCCCGGGCCCTGCCTCCCTACTTAATTAAGTAGGCACCGACTTAGTTAAGTAAGGAGGTAAGCTACTAGGACGCAGGATAGCTCATGCTGCTTCAAGGAAGCTCCCCCCGCCTGAGGGTGGGAGGCAGCTTCCTTGAAGAAGCGCTCGCACTATTCATTTGGTTCCTAGATTTTGTGGGAAAATATGTTTTGGGAAACTTAACTACATGTGAAGCGTTGAAGGAGCTTGACTTCGCCTGAACAAACAATCGCAAAGTGTGGCAAACTCGTCAGGTCCCTGAAGCATCTCGATATCCATGGCTCGAGGGGAGGATAGGTTCTTCATGGAAACTACAGTCAAGGAGGAAAACAAGTTCAAATAAACTTGGACATGTTCATCAAATTCAGTTCTTTCCTTTGAGGCTCTGACAAATGGCTGCCCCTGTGCGCGTCAGGGCTGAGCTGAGTCAATGCAGTATCAAGCGTAGCCTGTGGTCCGACCAGACATTGATGAATAACCCGGAACCCTAATTATAGATTTTGTCAGATTCATGTCCATCCCTAGTAGTGTAAGCCTCCAACAGTGATTTTGACCATCCCCTCTGCTTTGGGCCCTTTGCATCGCGTCGCTTTGCGTCACGTTTTGCTTCTTGGCTTTGCCCCTCAGGCCGTTTTGGATGAAGCGCAGCCCAGAACATATTTGACGAACTTCCTGAAGGGGCCAGGCCCTCCAGCCCCTCCAGGCCCCCCAGGCGCTGCAGGGTCAGGCTCTTCAGGGGGAGCGAAGGGATCCGGATGTGGAGCACCTGGCAAATCAGCGTCGTCACTCGTCTTCACCTCCTGCAGCAGTGACAGGCCAAAGGGGATTCTAGATTACAACATATTGCAACAAATCTGGAAAGCAACATGCAACAAATATTGAGTTTTGAATTCAAGTTGAAGAAGCTAAATGACTCACGGGCACACCTGTGTCTTGGAAGAGGTTTATATACTTGTCAAACCCATGGGTTACAGTCACATGGGAATCCATTGGAAGAGCTCTATACTATATACTTCCAAACACCAGACAGGAACAGAAGAACTTGCAGTCAGGCCAATCCTTGAAAGACTTCAATAGACTTATCCACTTCAAGCCAGCTTTACCCTCGTTGCACGCACCAGCTTCAAACGGAAGCTGTAGCCGGATTTCATCCATGGACTCTTGCATTTCGCCTATCAAGTCAGCGTGAGGATCAGACTGAAATCGGATGCCTTTGCGCTGATAATCTAACACTTTGAGTACAATTTGTTTCTCTTCGCCCGCAGTTGCTTTGCCAGAGTACTCGTGAGCATATCTCTCTCCCATTTGATAGGGGTCACTATCAGTGAACCGGACAAGGGAGGTGATCTCAGACTCGTGGATGCTGAGACTGAACGCACCATCTTGATGAAAGGAGACCTGAACTCTCGCTGTTGTGTTCGACCCAGCAGGGGCATTGTCTCTGCGGGAAACAAAGTTGTAGGTTCCTGATGGGAAAGAAGAAATCACCAGAGTCAAGTGAGCTCCATCTTCTATGCCATGATCCTTCAACACCCAGTCATCGTGCAAGATGTCCAATCCGTGGAGAAGCTTCATTCCCGAACACTGTACCGCTTCAGACTGCCCTCCTTCCACCATTTGATCATAAAGTCGTGCTTTCAGAGTGAGGGTTGTGTCACTCCCATCGAACTTCACATCAAACTGCTGTCCGTTGGCTCTGGCCACACAAAGCTTCCCTTCAACTTGCTTGGCCATGGCTGGGAGCACTGGAGGAAGTTGCAAATCAACTCCTGAACTCAAAATCAGACTGCGTGGAAAAACCATCCAAAGCACTTGAAACGGCCAAAGCGATAGAATGGCAACCGATGCAACTATGGAGCAGCAAACTTTTCTCAGAGGGCTCGGCATCTTCACGAGGTGCTCCGCCACGGTGGGCATCTTCTGGCCCTGGTGGCGCAGCTCCTCAGGTCCTTCTGTAGGCTCAGTGCTTCACAAACGTTGGGAGAGCTTGATGAGCTAGGTCAGCTAGGTGGACTGTCCAGTTGAACTGGGAACTGCAGTATGTGCAAGTGCTGGAGACAGCATACAGGAGACTGGTATCACTGTCTTTGCTGTCTTATAGGTTGCTCTAGGTCAGAAGATCACTGTTGCCACCCCCCTTCAGCACGGAAAGAACTTGCCAAAATCACATGCCCTGCCTTTCGGCTGTTGGCGGGGCTGGCGGACCTAGCTTCCTGGCAAGCGTTGGAACTGAAGTGAAGTGAACACCGTCGGGAGCCTGGCAAGAAGGCTCTACAAGGGAAGCATACCAAGCCATCCGTTTGAGATCTTTGAAATCCTTCGACTATGACCATGAGTACATTCCAAAGACCGAGTCACAGTAGTGACATGTAAGATCAGATCAAACTCGAAGCCGATTATATATAATTACAGGACTTGGCACAAATCAAACGGAAACAAAACTGATCCAATGAGAAGCACAAGACGTGAGTCCTGGCCACTTGGTCTTCTCTTGTGTCCACCATCCTCACTAGGCCTCCTCTTTTGTCCACCGTCCTGCGTCGTTGCGTGGCCAGCATTCAAGCTGCGATCCATGTAAGCATGGAAATCATACGGCGGAAACACGTTGTGGATTGTTCGAGTTGCATGAGCCCTGGTCGGTCCCTGCTGCCAGATCGATTTCGAACATCCCTGCTGCCAGATCGATTGCGAGCCTTCAGTCACAGACTCACTGACAAGACTTCTGACATTTTCCTGCTTCTGACCAGAGGCCAATACCTGCGTGTGTGAGACTGCTTCCTTCTTCTTGCTGGAGGACCTTCCATCTGCGTCCTTTGTTGCGAGATAATGTCTGTGACATTATCTTTTGTTCAATGTGTTGGGAACACAAGTGGTTGAGGGTGAATGGAAGATGTGCAGGTTGAATATATACAGTAAGTACTACTGCATCATAACTCCACAATAGGATAGCTTTTGACCTTCAGCTGAAACATTTGATTGTTGTTGCTAGAAAAGCATTTTCTGCGTAAAATACCAGACGGATGAAAGTGGTATCAAGTAAGGGAAAAGCTGCTAAATTCCGTGGCATATACACCAGATTGCACCTTGGATAAGAGAACGCGGGAACCGCAAACCTCGGTGTTCGGTTAGCCTCCTATAACTGCGAACCGGATCCAACTGAAAAAGAAGCAGGGTGAAACGGCCAGCAAGGTGAAGTGATGGGATCAATGAGAACGGCCCTGAAACAGCTCAATGCCAATAGAAGGTGCGATCAGACCTGGTCTAAGAGAAAAGTAAGAGTACGCACACCGAGAAGACATTCCATGAATCAGCTCATGTTGACCAGGACTCTGTGACAACAGTCAGCGAGGCCCTCGTCTTGTGGAACTTCTTTTCTTCAGCCGCCTCAGCACAGTTTAGATCTCTGCCGTCGTTTGAGTAGTTCAGAATCTGCTGCAGAAGACTCTGCCTGGGCCTGTTTCTCTGATGATTGCTTCCACTCCTGGCGTTGACTCACACTGCTTTGAGTTCACTTACTGAAAAAGAATTGGTTGACTGTCGGATCAAACACTAAGGCGAGACCCCGAGCACGCTGTCGACCTGTGCTGTGATGTCAAGTGATAGTTTTTTGTTAGGTGAAGACATGTCTCCTCGTCAAGCACAACTTCATGTCGTTTCGTGAGGTGGTTTGTTTGACCACCAATGGTGCCATAGCAGTCTAAATCCTCTACAACTCTCACAATGCTCCCTGTTAAAGGACGGCTGCTTGTGCGTTTTGTTGTTTTTGTTTTTTATTTTGATTTATTTTTGGGTTTTACTAGGTTGCTCCCATGGGGTTTTGGGAAGGTTGCCAGCAGTGTAGTCCCCCGGTGTCTCTGAGGAGGGCGCAGTTTTTCTGTGGTGGCGAGCTTAGCTTTATTTCGGTAGTGTTTTTGCTATGCTTTTTGGGTTAGGGAGGGGGTTGGAGGGGAGGGCGCAGCGCCTCCCCCAAGAACAAACCAAATCAGCCCACCAAAAAGCTACAAACTGCCAACACAAAAAAATGTGATCAGGATCAAGCCATCAAAATCCAACAAACTCCACGAGAACCAAAAGCAAGCCATCAAAAACCAAAGCCAGACAAACCACCCAATTTCAAATCCGCCAAAAAGCTACCAAAAGCCAACAGAAGAAGCTATCAAACCTTGCCATGAGAGAACCACCAAAGGCAAGCAATCAAAAACCAAACGAACACAAAGCCACGCAAGCCACCAAAAGCCAAAAGCCGCAGAAGCCGCCGAAGTCAAAAGCCACAGAAACCGCCACTAATAGCGAAATAGCGATGGCCTCCAACCTACTAGCAATGGCCTCCAACCTAATAGCGATGGCCTCCAATGACCTAACTTTATGTGTATGCACCCTGCAACTCCAACGCATTGCCCAAGAATGATGCGGCTTCATGCAGCCCCATGCCGTTTTTGTACATGATCACCCATGAATGAGCAACACAAGGCCATGGCTAGCTCTACTGAGCTGCAGTCGAAGAGCTTTGTCACTGATCAGGGCCTTCTTCCATCGCTGGGATGCCTCGATAATAGCTGCCGCTGTTGTTAGCTGGACTGTCTGCAAAGAAACAAATCCCTGTGGCCTTGCTTGAGTGTCGTCTCTCCCTCAGTCAATTTGCAGCTCTTTCAAGCTCTTCTGATCGGATGTTCATAGCATCGCTTTTTGCAAAACTTTTCATGCTCAGGCGTGCTCAATTTGTCTTCCGGCTGGGGGTGCACATCCTTTTGCTCTTTCATCTGCGCGGGCAAAGTGGGCGATCTCACTAAATACAATGTTGTTGTTGTTGTTGTCGGTGCCAATGTTCGAGTGCCGACAAAAGCGCATTTTTGTCAACACCCCAGAAGGCCACGGCTTCCAGGCCAAGGTCGTTTGAAGACCATCACTGTGCTCTGAAGCCAGGGCCTCACAAAAGCGTTTGGAGAGCCACAACTTCGAAGTTCTCACTCTCCAAGACTCCCCACAACGTCGCTGCCGCTCGAAGCTCCGCAGTCTTCTCTGGCAAGCCTCAAGACAAGTGGACCGTTTAAGATGCCCAGTCCAACGAAAACATGATTACGTAGGATTTTATGTTTTTTGCCCGTTGCCCTCATCCTTACCTTAATTCAGTAGACACCCACTTGATTAAGTAAGGGCTATGTAAGCTACTGCCTACTGGATGCAGGAAAGCTCACACTTCTGTTCATGTGGTTCCTAGATAAGTTAGGGCAGTACAGTATGGCGGGTTAGAGAAGATATGTCCGGGGTCTAGGATGTATTGGCTGCCTTTTCTCATCAAATCAAAAGCACGAAACCGTTCCTCCGTCTCCTCGGCTCCTGGCTGAGAAAACCATGCTCTCGCATCAGTTCTTCCACCTCCGACTCCGAGAGCATCAGCGAACATTGATTTAGTGAGGATATTAAATGCAAAGCAGCGAAGGCGTAGTGTCTCCAGGTGGTGCTTATGATGCTGTATGTAGTGAATTGAACTTTTGACATCTCAGAGTCTGTTTTCAACAACAGTCTTATTCTGGAGCACGTCAATTCAGCGCTCAATCCTAATTAGATGTTTAAACGTTGGCATTCCGAAACAATTTGACACGCTCAGATTGTATTGCGCATGAATACAGTTGCACTCGGTAAACATATGGCTACACCAAAACAATACCATGTGTTTTGTTGACAGATGAGTTCAGAGAAAAGAAAGACACAAAGTCCATGTGTTGCAAACTTGAGGTGTCAATGGAATGATGTGTCCTATTTTTCATCTGAAAGTGAGGAGGCACTGTCCCTATTCATTTGTGATATACTAACTACTTAAACAGAGATCTTGAGGACGAATTATTGTGCGGGCTCATCATTTTCGGAGTTGAGAGAGAATGTACAGAGGATAGATTCAATTTGTATGAGGTTCGTGGTACGAGTGCTTGGTGAAATGCATGCAAGACAGAAGGGTCATAATTGCAAGACAGAAAGAAGCCAAACCTTTACAAAATGAACCTGCTGTGAATGGTTTATTGTAAAAATGGAAAGAATGAAGGGAACCTGGGCACCAGCTGGATGATTCAGCCACCTTCTGGAAGCATCGTGAATCTAAATCTAAAGTAACTTGTGGGTCTGCACCATGTTGGGAGGAAGAGTTTTGCTGCGCCGTGCCAGCGCCTCTTCTGAGGTTCGAAGATTCACATGCCCTTCCCCTGCCTGGCAGGTCCCACCCCTAGTAGCGTCCGTTACTAGTAGCTTCTTGTTCCTAGTAGTATGGCCAGGAGCCCCTAGTAGCGTCCTTGCTCCTAGTAGCGATGCCCTTTGTTACTAGTAGCCTTTCTAATTCTACGAAAACATGCAAGGACCACTTGATTTCCCCAGGAAAGCACCATGCCAGAGCAGGTGTGCCTCCCATCAGCTCATCATTTTTTGTTGATGATCCCCTCTAGCCCCTAAACATGCTAAACTGTTTCAGCAAAAGTCTGCTTCAGAAGCACCATTCAGCCATTTGGTCTCCTGTCCAAGTTCTTCAGGAAGGAATTCTCGAACTCTCGAGGGATGTGTTCTGCCACTTCCAAAGAAAGAACCTCGGTGGAGCAAGTCTTGCGGCTCTTTTTTTAGCTTCCAAAGATCTCTCGAAGCTCGGCTGCAGGCCCAGTCCCAGCGAGTGCCCAAATCAAGGTCTCGACTTAAGTCAGCCTGCCCAGCAAAGAGGCTTGCTATGTAACCCGATGCCACTTCGAGACAGA